ACAGACAGACAGACAGACAGACAGACAGACAGACAGACAGACAGACAGACACGACCGAAAACATTACCTCGCCCTTGGCAGAGGTAATTACTCTTGCCATTGACAAAGAACAAATCCAACAAGTCTGCTGCTGATTTTATAATAAAATACAAGAAAACTAGTTTTAAATGCATAAAAGCATGTCAGTGAAGATGATGAACCAGAATCCTTAAAGTAAAAGGGCTGTACAAGTCATCACAAAACCATATTTTGGATTTGGACTTCACACACTTTGTATTTGGCCAGTCTCTTGTCATGACGTTGAATAAAGTCTCTGTAAGCAAAGCTTATAATGAACTACAACATGCCTGCCAGGCTGAAGCTCTGTTTATCACATAGAGTACGCATCATTAACATTGTACAGCACTGACTCCTCCCCCTTCTCATGCGAGAGGGAGAGTCAAGTCTCAAGTCTTTAGGGTCCAAGTCAAGTCTAAGTCTCTAATATTAGGGACTTAAGTGCGACTCAAGTCGAAGTCCAAGTCACGAGTCCCCATCTCTGCTTTCTGTTGATGCAGTTTCAAGTAGAACATAAAGCTTTGGTTGTTTCATTTCCTTCTCCAGAAGTCTGTAATGTCCTCAAACAGCAGACTTTAATGACATCAGGGGTTCCTCAGGCTCAGGACTGTTGTGCTCTCATTTCGTGTGATCCCTTTGAAAAGTTATGTGGCAGAAAGCAGAGTTCTACAGGTTCTGCACGCCTGCTGGTTTGAAACGACGCTGCACTTGTTCGGTCCTGGACTGAAGGTCTTCAGTATTAGTACACACATCACTGCACCAATAAAACTGCTGTAAATTCAGACTGCACCTGAAGGGTTTCCTGCTGCTGTTTTTTGCATTTGTAAACAACAACACTGAGTAAAAAKAAAAATCCATACAGAGAAACTGATGGTAGCGTGAAGGTTTAACGGTTTGTGAAACACTTTTTGCATTGACGGCTATAAAACTTTGAGGACTGAAGTTGTTTTAAGATGCCAGCAAAATAACTTTGATGTTAGCTACTTTTGGGTTAGCTGTTAGCTCAGACCTAACCAAAGYGAGGCAGTTCAAAGAGCTGGAAACAACAGGTAGGCGAGGCAAGTCCATCTCATTATTGGCTGGGGGGCGGGGGGCAATACACAGGGTACTTTTTAAGGCACAGTGTGTAGGATTTTGTCAATTCTTTTAGCCGAAATTGAGATAATCACTAATGACAATAATGAAAAACATGTCTAATCATTGCAGACAAAGACCTTGTTTTATTATTTTTACCTTATAAAAAGCTGTTTATATCTCTATGGTCGCGGGTCGCCACTACAGGCAGCCGCTAATTGTATAGGTCTTCTGGACGGGTTCTTCTCTAATGAAACGTTTCGTCTCTCCTCTAAGAGACTTCTTC